TCGACCCAGATGTGAAGTGGAATTTGTGAGAGACAGTAAACCACGGTTGTATCTTTTAAATAAAACAAAGTCTATCAGAGGCAAAGCTTTGAAGAGGCTTACATTTTTTTATTTTTCAGGAAAAAAAAAAATACATAGTGAAATAGTGCTCTTGCTTTGCAGAGGAAAGAAACACTACCATTTAAGTGAAAGAAGAATGCTAGTGTAGGACCTCAGCTTACAAACATTTACCTCTCCTTGGAAAACAAAAAAAAGATTTGCTATATCATTCAGACACTGATGATGAAAAGGAAAAAAAGTCTATGCAGTGTAAAAAAAAAATTTCAAAAATGTAATTTTTAAACTGGGGTTTATAAAACCACCAAGAAGATCCAGTTTGGTGAAACACTGGCACAGGTTGCCCAGAGAGGTTGTAGATGCCCCATCCCTGGAAACATTCAAGGTCAGGTTGGAAGGGGCTCTGAGCAACCTGATCTAGTTGAAGATGTCCCTGCCCATGGCAGGGGGGTTAGACTAGATGACCTTTAAAGGTCCCTTCCAACCCAAACCATTCTATGATTCTATGATCATTTTTACACTGATGGGAACAAAACAAAAATAAGGAACTTAAAAGATTCACACCCCCCTCTCCAATTCCATAGTCTTATTTGCAGGGAAATTTATGGTAATGCCTTTCTTTGCTATTTTTGTACTAAGTCTAAAAGGCTAGTTGACGAAGAACGAAGAACACTTGATATTTATGTGCTGTATTTCTATTAAGAACATACAAGATGTTTTCCAGTAAGATGATGACGGTTGTGTTAGGGTACCTGAAGATTACTATAGGATTCTGAAGCACCTTACGGGAGCTAACTAATAATACATAAAAATTGATACTGGACTGGATTAGCGTCATGGTACCTGTGACATTTTGCTGCTAAAGGTAAAAAGTGAAAAGCAGTTAACTATCCATAGATAAGACTTGACAGTTAGTATAGAACCTCATACCATTTAGGTTTATACAGTTATCTTATTTTGCACTAGTTGAAACCAGGAGAAAATAAGTAGATTAAGTGGAGGACTTGTGGACTCAATGGCTTCTGTTTGTTCAGACTTTTATACCATATACTAGCTAAAAATCCCAAGATTTAGCATCCAAGATATTTGATATCTGATAAATCTGATGTCACTTTTACTTAAGAAAATATTGTGACAATTCATACCACTTTCTGAAAGAAAAATTGTCCAAGGAAGAAGACAGAGATCATAATGTGAGATTGCTCTATTAAGTCACTGACTTCCCAGAGGTTCCACTACTCCAGCTGCATCATAACCATGCAACATGGACTGTTTCCCGTCTACATCCTGTTCCATAAAAGAATTCACTTATAAATTATGATGATCTGTAACTACTGTGTATACTGCCCGAATTCCATCTTAAAGTACCTACTTCAATGCTTCAAATGAATACACTTCGCAAAATTTTCCACTTCTGATCATAAGAACTGCAAGAAGAGACCTTCAGAGTTTCGTATCTCATGAAAACAATTTCTTGTAACTCAGAAGATGACACACGCCTCTTATTCATTGCATTGCAGCTTATGGGCAAACATAGCGGAACAAAAAGTATTTCCTTACATTTCCCTTTCTGGTCTTATGAAAAATGAGTTATGGCTATGTCCTTTTTTTTGTACTTACTTAATAATAATTAAATACCCTTAAAAATAAACTCCACTGGGTTGTTAGCAGATAAAATACAGTCATGTTCCTAAAATCTATTCCACAGAGATTTTTGTAAATGACATGTATGATGTCATAGCTTGTTATCATGAGCTCCCTTACACTTCTGTTAAATAACCCTCTATCTGCTTGAAAGAACACTGTAGTTATAATCCTTCTAAACAACATAAGTCTATCTTTGGACTTATATCAAAAGATTGGGACTGGTCTACTTTAAATACCTGGGACTTAGTTTAACTTTATTATAAAAATCCCCTTTCTCCCCCCAAAAAATTTACGCACACTGGAAGAGAGATGTCTTTTGTTAAGTTAAAAAAATTCTGTAGTCCCAAACAAAGCAAAAGCTGTACCCTAGAAGGCAGGCTTCCAAGACACTGAGAGAGAAAATTCCCTTCTATTTGTGTTCTCCTGGGCTACACACAATCTGGTCTTGTCAGGCACAGGTGTGTCAATGTAAAAAGGTAAGCAAAATGGGACAAACGCAAATGCATGAAAGTAAGAAAAAAATTTTAGAACATTGGTAACCCCTGAATGTTTTAGATATAGCAACTCCTATTTTAAGAGAAAAATACTACCACAAAAGAGAGTGATCACCATAGATATTGAAGAGCTTTTGCATAATGGCTGGGTTTTTATGCAAGATTAAGGGAAGAGTCTTATCAGTTGAACTTTACTACAGTTACATTACTTTCAATGTTGACATGCTTTTTCTAAAGGAAAGCTGTTCTTTTCTGGTTTAAAAGATAAACTACTCCAAGCAACATAAAATAAATAAAGAGAAAAGATTTCTGTTCTTGAACACCTGGGTCATCTACATAGGGATTTACACTAGTAATGAGTATAATCTGCTAGGGTATCGTGGTAATACACATTTCCTAGATACAGAAAGATTAATAAGTATTGCACTTTCTGTAAGTATAAGGCAGTGTGTTTTCAGTATTGTAAAAATTTTAAGGTGTACTGAGCACTGAAATGGGTTAGAAATACAGGGGGCTTTACTGTCAGTAAGAGAACCTTAATGCCATAATAGCTCTTATTTAATAGAGAATTTCTTTTTGATGTGTTAACCACCAAACACAGGAATTGCCATGCTGAAAGGGAAATAATTGACTATGTTAAGCTGAATCAATGTTTTTTACTAAAAATTAGAAAAAGAACGTGAAAGTGAACAGGTTGGTTATTATACTGCTAAAACTTCTCTATAAGCAGGGTTTCTATTTCATTTAGGAGACAATTGAGAAATAAGTAGTACCTGTAATTTATTACTATTATTACAAAACAAAACTTATCCATAGGGCATATGAATAACTTACTTAAACAAATATGTAGATAAATAATTTTTTACAAGAAATTTGTAGCCCAAATAGTAGTAGTTCAAATAGACAGTATTGTTAACTTTCATATAACACATATGGTGTGATACTGTAAAGCTGAAGAAAAAGTCTTGCAAGTGCTGTGTAGGGGACTGTCTAGTAATATGCCTTCAGGTAGGACTCTGGAAGGGAAAAGAATTGCCAGATAACAGATGTAGTTTGTGGTATAAAGACTGAAATGGAAGATGAGAAAAAAGAGATAAGGAGTCTGTTAAAGAGAAAGCTTGAAACAAGTAGTAGAACTGAGACCTTCCATAGTATATAAATGAAGTGAATTACTCTGGGTATCCCTGAAAGCGAGCGGAATTTGAAGCTGAAAGTAACAAGTGCTAACGAAAAGGCTACAAATTGGAAATGACAGTTGAGAGAGAGGGGAAAAAAAAAATACGAAGGCATACCGATAGGGCAGAAGTTGAGATGGATGAAGCAAAAGATACAGATACAGAGAAATATTATACTGATGCAGCTTAAGAAAGAAGCTTATGTAAGTACTGCAAACAGAACCAGAAAGGAGTGAAAACATTTTTGCATAGAAAAGGGAAGACCAGACCAGTACTGATAACTGCATGGAGGCTGAACACATGAATGATGAGAGGGATCACAGAACAGTGAATGGTAACAGGAGAGGAAAGACATGACAAATTTGGGGAAAAATGCAGGATTTTTTTTCCATGTTGAACTTGAGGTTTCTTGCGAGACAGCTAGAAGTCTGAAAGAAAGCACACTGTATCTGACTACCTCCAGAAGAGTAGCTGAAACAGAAGAAATGGATAAAGTTGCTCAGTGAGAATATAAAGACGAAAAATGAGAGAATCATAAACAAAAGTGTAGGAACTATCACTAAAAAAAGCAGTGGCTGAGGTACAAAAAAATTGAGAAACACAGGAAAAGTAAAGAAAAGAGTGACCTTTTTATTAAGGAAACAACAGCAGCTTAACTGAATGGATATTTTCTTTGAAAAGATATATCTAGGTCTCTAGGTAATAAGATACCTGGATATTTCCAGGGTATTAGCGATATCTGGAAGAGAATGGAAGCTGTTGGTATGCTTATATTGGATTTGCTTTTTATTTTAAAGATCATACAAAAGCCAAATTGACACAGACCTTTAAGTAATTAGATTAGGAAATCTGAGTTTTTGAAGAAGCATGGTACTGAGAGGAAGTTACTAGTTTTGAAGAAAAAAAATTAAAACTAACAAAATATTTTGTTGTGGTCTCCTACTCTGGCAACGAAAGCATCAGAAAATTGATTGGGTCTTCATCTGTGCAGGCTGATTAAAGCATAACCCTATTGTCTGGAACAATATGGAAGGCAGCTAGAGGGAATAAAATCCACAGAAAACAAAACACACTTAGTCAAAAAATATACATACGTGTCAAGATATTGATGTCTTATGCCATACTTACAATGAAATATTAAAACACAGAAAAGAATCACATGTGAAAACTAGTAAGATTTTGCTATTCAACAGTGCGGCATTCTGACAGAAATTGCCTAAGAAACATAGGAAACATTGAGAATGCTGTAGTAAGTCCTTACTCAATTGCTTTGACGTACATTTCAATACTGATAGCGTTTTTACTTGATTTGCTTTATCAAGCATGGAAGAATTATGCCAAATATTGTATTAAAATGGAAAATTTTTTGCTTTTTTTCAATTTTATTTTGATCAAACCAGTGTAAGCTCCTGCTGAGTAACATTCAGAGGGATTTAATACTCAGTATATGTATGCACAACAATGTTACATTCTTCTAGCAATTTAGATTAACTGTGTGCATTTATAATGGTAATAAAGTCTTTAGTGAAGGATTATTTTTGTTTTGTAGGCCAGGCTGTGTCAGAAGAACAGAACTCTGCAGCACAACATGCATAATATTACATAACTTCAAAGGAAAATTTCTTACCTCCAGCAACTAGCCCAGACTCTCCTAACTGAATTGCTACCCCGAAGCCACCAAGCTTTACTGGGGCTGAATTCTCTTTTGAGGCAAGCAGTACACAGTGTGGCTGAAAAGACAAAAACCCAGACAAATTATTATATTATTTGAGAAATACAATTTGCATTTTAGAACTTATTTTCATAAATTTGCAAACAGAAGCTAGAATCTTTGGGATTTTTGGAAAGAATTTCTTAATTTCAGATTTTTTTTTTTCTGGCATGGACTCCTCCCTCTTCACTGGCTTCCCTTTCAAATGCCCCAGGCACAGCAAAATCATTTCAAGACTTAACAGAACTCGCAAGGAACACAAAGTGAATAAAATGGAGATAAAAATTAACACCTATAATTTCTTACCTGGTATTACTTTTTCTTTTACCTTTCATCCTTTAGCCTTACAACGTTTCAATTCTCCAGCAGAAACATCCTGCCTATGATACACTTTGTGGGATCTTATCCTTGACACAGACAACATAAAACACCGTTTTGAGCCTTAATCACAGAATTCACTGATTACTTTCCAACTGCAGAAAAGAAAAGGAACATCCCTGTGATGTTTCTAATAAATATTCCAGTGAGGGGGGAAATTGTTTAGGTTTCTAAACTGGATTCCAGGCACAGTCTTTCCACCAATAAGAGTGAGATGTAATGTATAAAAATGGAATAGTATTATAGAGCAATTTGGATGGATACTGACTGCTGTAAGAGGAAGCAACATACAGACAAAATCTATTAGAATACATTTTAGTATTTAATACATGTAGCCAAACTATTTCATTTAATATAGAGTGACATCCTGCATTTACTCAAAGCCTCAAACCACATTATTTAACAGGAAGAATGTCAAATTTGTATACTGCTGCTTGAGAATACATTACTGCTTAAATTACAAAACTAGGAACTCAAAATCGTGCAAAGGAGCTACAACAAGCACAATCTGACTACCTGTAAAGTCATCATCTGTAACCACCCATGTTTTCTTTTAAAAAGTTTCAAGTGTATGAGGACAAGCACCTTCAAGTAAGAATGCATAGCCTGTTTACCATCTTCAGAACCCCATAAAAGCTTGATTCCTAAACAGATGATATATTAAGAAAGCTAACATGGAAATTCTCATTTCAAATGCTAAGGAGAATACTAAGTCAAGACAATGTTCTTGAGATGATCATTAAATTTAAGCTAACTTCTATCAGGACTTCTAGAATCCATTTATAAATTTGCAATTTACAAATGTAATTTTCAATCCCTTACCTCCTCTTTAAAAGAGTGTTACCAGGTGGTATTATCTCTGAATATTGTATTTCACTTCTGCCTTATTAATGTTAAGCTGCACACTTTGGGCACTTTCACATTCTCTCATCGCTGTCATTTGAGTGAAAAAGATCAACCTCAAATTTCTAACCCCAGGCAAGGAAGAAGGTAGATGGGAGAACTACACCAATAGAAGCAAAATGTACCGTTTCACTGTGATGATTTCTCTTCACCCTACATTTGAAAAAGTGATACTATTTCCACAACAGTATTAAAAAGACACAGGCTGTATCAACATAATTGTCATCCAAAAAGGAAGCCACTGACACTGCTCACCAGAAACAAAGTTTCTGAGAAAAAAACCCCAAATCTCCAATTCAAAGTGAAACTCAGAGAAAACTTTATTATAGAACCTCTCCCAGCAAAGCCCAAATTAACAGGAAAATTGATCTTATCAATAGACTAAGTTTTGCTAGTTAAAAATATCTTTAAAAAAACAGTTGCAAAACTAGTTAAACTTCCCCTTGTTGGTAATTGTACTGCGTCAGCTGATTCTCATCACTTTCATAGAGAAGCTGGTCCTTTAGCTTTCTAATAAGAGGACTTGCATGTTACTCCTCCCTGTCTTCACCAGCAGTTTTGAAAATCAGCAGAAGTTCTCAATATATAAATGGTAAGTGGCTTCTTTTATATTTAAGCTATAGTAAAACAAATTTCTATTAAAATTTCTCTTAACTGCAAAGGTACTACTGACCTTCAAACCCTTTCTTAAACATACCTATGTTTAAGCATGCCTGCTTGCTTACAGATGACAAAACTTATGATAGCTAAAAGTTATGTTTCTAGTGTATCTGCAGTGTAATTAATTTTTCTCTGTCTCATTGACATAAAACTTGTCACTACTTACGCAAGTCACAATGTCAAGCATTTTTATAGAAAAGCAACATAAAGAAGAAATTATAGTAGTATATAGGTTTCAAGATGCATTTGAAAGCATCATGGTTTTTTAAACAAGCTTTTAAAATTACTTCTTGCCCTGACAATATAAATGCCAAATATGAAAACAGAAATATTTTTAAAACTGCTAACATACTGTACAAATTAAATGCAATTTTAAGATCAGCCAACATAGGATGTTAAAATATTTTAGACTGTCCTCTCAATAATTCAGATTCTGTATGTACTTTAGGTCTTACTAAGAATTTTACCTAAAATGCTGCCATTTTCACTGCTGTAGCTATATCATACATTTAAATGTAAATTTGCATTTTTAAGACCTAGCATGCAAATTTTGTTGTTGTTTTTTTCCTATTACTGTTGTTAGACAACTAAGATCAGAGTACCAAAACCAATTCTGAAGTTTTTGTGAGATTAGGGAAAAAAACTTACCCCTTTAAAAAAAAAATTAAATAAACTTATTTATGGAATCTTGTATCGCTATGACATACAAATTGAAGACAGAAGTTGTATCATTACTAATCAGACTTAACCATCTCTCTAAACAGCTCATTGTGATTCTACTCCCCTAACCACACCCTTTTTTCATTTTCCTTCTTTGGTCAAAGATGACTTTTATCTTCCAGATTGTACCTTCCTGGTCAAAAATAAGCTTAGTGAAATCAAAAACTTCGAAATGAAAACAAGGAAAACAATGAAAACAAGGAAGATGTGAAAACAATCTGTTACTGTATTAATGTGGTTTCTGGCATATATTAGTTTCTTTGCATAATGTTGATTTTTGAACAGTCAAGAAAAGGAAAAAATACTTAAATTTATATGAAGATATAAATTATTAAAACCAAGCTACTGTAATAGTACCGACTCATGGTGTTACTTATAACAGATTACATAGCCAAATAAATATTAATTGACAATTGCTTTTCTAACTGAAAGCCAGTGACTTGCATGCAAGAGATCCTAGGTACTTATTCAAAATTAATACTGATGAGCTTAGAATTGTTTTGATATATCTCTATGTACTTTGTATCAACACCGAGAATACTTCACTTAGCTTTTTTTGCATCTTAATTAAAAAGTTTACTGTGTCAGAAAGACTAATTCTAACGTCAGGCCCTAAAAAAATTATTTGTACTTATAGATAAGACAAAAAAATTTAATTTCTAAAATTTGCAGCAAAACATAATAGTTGATTTTTAAAACAATACAAGGCAGTAATAAAGATGTAATTACAAAAATAGTTATCTGTGTGAGTGCTCTGTACCATCTGCTGTTGCCTACTTTACGCGAAGAAAAACAGGGAACCAATTATTGTAGACTTACATTGTATCATGATATCCAGCTGAAAGTCCTTCTTCTACTCAGCTACAGCGATACTTTGGTGCATTTACTTTTTTCAGTTATTGCCTTTTATGTTTATATCACATAAGACTGTATGCAATAAAGCAAGCAAATACGTGAAAATGGTCCCATGGTGATCTAATTCTTAAAATTTCTCTTTGCATCCCTACAGAACTACTAAAAAAATCTTCACAAATGATGGCTGCAGCTTCAGCTGATTTACTGACCATTCTGCCATACAGGGAAGTCTTCTGGAGTAACCAAACTAACCCAGCCATAAATGCCTCAGAAATTCAAAACAATGCCAGTTGTCCCTTAGACGACAACTCACTGTCACTTGCTTTGATAGTTTTTTACTCTATTATTTTTGTTGTTGGATTGGTTGGAAATATTATAGCCCTGTTTGCTTTCCTGTGCATTCATCAGAAAAGGAATTCTATCCAAGTTTACTTGCTAAATGTAGCCATTGCAGACCTTCTGCTGATCTTCTGTCTCCCCTTCCGAATACTCTATCATGTTAACAAAAACACCTGGATGTTTGGACCAATTTTATGCAAGATTGTAGGAACTCTATTTTATATGAACATGTATATTAGCATAGTTCTGTTGGGACTAATTAGTCTAGATCGTTATGTAAAAATAAATAAGTCTGTGAAGTGTCCTAAAATGTTAACTACTACACGAAGTATACATATTTGTTGCATGGTGTGGGCACTTGCACTAACAGGATTTATAATAGTAGTTGCACCATCTTTCTTTAAGAGTGAGGACAGCAATTCTACTATGTGCTTTCATTACCGAAATAAACAGAATGCAAAGACAGAAGCAATTTTAAATTATATTATTGTAATCATTTTTTGGATAGTTTTTTTCCTTTTGATACTTTCATATGTTAAAATTGCCAAGAACCTTCTGAAAATTTCAAAGAAAAGAGCAAATTTTCCCAACGCAGGAAAATACACCCAGACAGCAAGGAATTCCTTCATTGTACTCATTATTTTCACCATCTGCTTTGTTCCTTACCATGTGTTCCGATTTGTCTACATTACATCACAGTTACAAAATCCATCTTGTTATTGGAAGGAAATCATTCACAAATGCAATGAGGCGATGCTCATATTTTCATCTTTTAACAGCTGCTTAGACCCAGTTATGTATTTTCTAATGTCCAGAAGTGTCCGTAAGACTGTATTCCAACTTATTTGCAGAAGACTTCATGGAGATTCAGGCCTAACTCTGGAAAGCACTTCAGAAATAAAACTTGGACAATATACACAAGAGCGATTCTCTACTACTACTCCCCACTCAAGTTCTTTAAAGAAGAAGTGTCTGATTTGATTTTTTAAATGAATGGATACTAGTTTCTCTCTGTCACTCCAGGACATCAATTTAAGATGTACAAAGGCAATATTGTACAGCTACTAATCCTGCCTCTTTCTTCCTGTCAAAAAATGAGAAGTCTTACTTCTGTTTGTGAAAATGAGAAGTTACTTTTCAGAAGCATTTTGCTCTTGTTTATCC